ATATATTGTATTTTATCAAAACAATCAGTTCTTTTTTTTCAAGAAATATTTACTCTTGTGTCCAAATAACATCTTAATTGTCTTTTATAAAAACAAAACACAATGAATTTTTTAAAATAAGAATAATAAAACAATGATTGAGCAACAAAAAGATGAAGTAACGTTTATTTTCTATGATAAAAGTCGATTTTGTTCTCCTGTTGATGTTGAATAAAAAAAGTCGTCTCATATCCTTGTTAGTGTTATGTGATGAAAAATCTATTGAAATGAATCTTTCCAATATTGAGTTGTTAATAATGTCACATAATATTGCTTGTTTGCATTTAGGGTGGGTGTGGGTGGGTATTGTATTCATTGAAATCCAAACTCACACTTAACCACACACTCTTACCCACACTTTAATGTACGCCAGAAGTTGAAAATGAGTGTGGAGTGTGGAACTGGTTAAACATAAAATTAAAATCCACACCCACATCTGGTCTTTTTAGGGAGGAGTGACAACATGAAAATTTCATAGACACTAGAAAATTATTCTTCCTTGGTCGAAAGCCAGTTTCTCAGCAAATGGTTCATCGAGAAGTATGCACTGGAAATACTTGAAAATTCGAGTTAGAACATCCGCAGTAGAATCTTATGAAAAATCTAATATGTGAATTCATTCTTGTGTTGAGGTTTATGTTTATTTTTGTGCATTTACAATTTTTTTGGCACAGCTGTGCAATACCGTTCTAAATATAAATACATTTTTCATCAGCAGTTTTGAACGAGTTCAGTAATGGCAAGAGTATCGCTATAGTGCATGAGCTGACAAATTTTCTGCTAACCTATTTCGAGTTAAAGATGAAGATGACTTGAGAGAATACAATACTTTTCTGTCAAATATTTTCAATTTAATCATGAATATCATGGTTCGAAAATGTGAAAAGCAGTATTGACTCCTACAGGAATATGAAGATATACCGTTAATAATGAGTAATCATTTTCTATCTATATTCAAGTAATTATTGAATAGTCTGCATATGCAATAGCGTATTCATTTCCAATTAAAACAATGCTTCATGCATCTATATCAAGCATCACCTTTTCTAACTATCGGATTTTATGAGCAGAAAAAGGATTCTTTTATGTTATTTTGCCATTTTCTCTCTCTTTTTCTTGATTTATGACACCGCAATATAATACTGATATTGCTTTCACTCCACCAGCCCCTTTCATCGCTCTGATATAAAGAGTATACCAATCATATATTTGAGAGTTTTACTCATAATAAAAGTCGATTATTATCGCACAAACTTTGACTGTTATTGATATGTACCTGAATTTTCAACATCAAAGCTACAACGAACATTGATGTGATGTCTCAACCACGAACACCGGGTATCCTACAAAATTTTTATTTGATGTGGTTCAACACTCGTCTAGATGAATCTATCGAAGAGTTTCAGAATTTATTAGTTCACTTACGACGTGTGGTCCATTGCATAGAAACTTCCAGTAATGTAAATAAATGTCTTAGTTTTCTGACGGAAATCGAGAACGGAAAAGTGTTCATGATAATCTCTGATGCTATCGGCGCAACAATCGTACCATTTATCCACAATATACATCAGATTCATGCCATCTACATCTTTTGTGAAAGCCAGAGCTATCATGAACAATGGTTCAAAACATGGACGAAAATGAAGGGTGTCTTCAATGATATTGATTCTTTCTGCAAGTTCCTCCAGGAACTTATACGTCGATATGACCAAGAGTTCATCGGCATCAGCTTTATTTCAGCTGACACAATGACATCGAACGCGAATCTTGATCAGCTTGATCAATCATTTATGCATACTCAGTTACTCAAAGATATTCTCCTCGAAATCAACGACTTCGGCCCCCAAGCCATGAAACGGCTAGCTGATTTCTGTCGTGAACAAAACATCGAAAACTCTGAAATACAAATAGGCGAATGTGATTACCATAGTGACAAAGCTATTTGGTGGTATACCAGCTCATATTTTCTCTACTCAGTGCTCAATCGAGCTTTGCGCAATCTAGAAGTCGATTGTATCCTTAATTTGGGCTTCTTCATTCGTGATCTTCATCGACATATCGAACGACTCTATACAGAACGATCACAAAGCCACTTGAGATACTCATTTACTGTCTACAGGGGTCAAGGATTGTCGAAGGAAAAGTTTCAGAAATTGATGCAGACGAAAGATGGTCTGATATCATTTAATAACTTTATGTCAACCAGCAGAGATTGTGACGTTTCTTTGAGCTTCGCCGAGAGTAACTTGACAGAACCTGATTTAACAGGAATTTTCCTCGAAATAAAAATCGATCCACAGATGTCATCAGTACTCTTTGCGCATCTTGCTGGTGACCTCACGTACTTTCCGTCCAAAGGAGAAGTTCTGTTCTCAATGCATACTATCTTTCGCATAGATGAGATTACAGCAATGAATGAAAATAATCGACTGTGGCAAGTAAAGCTCACCCTGACGAATGACAACGACGCACAGTTTGATGCTCTTACTAAATATATACGGCAAGAGATTGGAGGTGCAACAGGTTGGCATCGACTAGGTGCATTGCTCATCAAACTTGGTCAAACTGATAAAGCTGAAGAAATATACCGATTGCTGCTCGCTCACGAATCTGATGATAGTAGGAGAGCTATCATATATAATAATCTAGCATGCATCAAGCTCGACAAAAGCGAATATGAACAGGCTCTTAAGTTTAGCGAAAAGGCGCTGGAAACCGACGAAAAAACTTCCAGTCCAAGCGATTCTCATCTTGCGATTTCCTACAACAACATTGCACGAGCATACCAAGGCATAAGTCAATACTCGATAGCACTTCTTTTTCTCGAAAAAGGGCTTCAAATTCTCTTAAATACTTTTTCTTTGAATCATTCTCAGTTGGCTACTTGCTACAATAATATAGGTTTGGTTTATAAAGACATGGGTGAGTACTCGAAAGCACTGTCTTTCTACGAGAAAGCACTTGCAATCAAGAAAGAAACTCTGCCTTCAAATCATCCTGGCTTGGCCGTTTCGTATCAAAGCATTGCTTTACTCTACAAAAAGATTGCCAGGTACTCAGAAGCAATTTCATTCTACGAAAAAGACCTTGGAGTTTGCGAAAAAAAGGCTTTCTCCAAACCATCCAGATTGGGCTACTTCGTATAATAGCAGCGGTTTTGTGTATGATAGCATGGGCAAGTACGCGAAAGCACTTTCATTCTATGAACAGTCAGTTGGCATTCACAAAAAAACTCTCTGTCCAAATCATCGTGAGCTAGCTAATTCGTATAATAACATCGGTTTGGCGCACGACAACATGAGCAACTACTCGAAAGCACTTCAATTTTATGAGAAAGCACTTGAAATGCAGAGAAAAATTCTTCCTTCGAATCATCGTGACTTGACTACTTCGTACAATAATATTGGTTTGATATATAAGACTATGGGCGAGTACTCGAAAGCGCTTTCGTTCTATGACAGAGCATTAGAGGTCAAGCAAGAGATTCTCACTCCAAATCATGATAGTTTAGCTGTTTCCTGTAGCAACATTGGTGAGCTGTATAAAAGCATGGGTGATGGAGCGAAAGCATTTTCATTCACTGAACAAGTCATGAAATTTCTCTAAAAGCTCATCCTCCGAATCATCCTGATTTAGCTACTTCGTACAATAGTATGACTTCCGCGTATTACAATATTGGCGAGTACTCAAAAGCACTTTCTTTTAGTGAACGGGCTGTTGCCATTGGATAACGATCACTACCACCAAACCATCAAAATCTATTCATGTGGCGAATCAATCACGAATTCATTAGAAAAAAATTGTAACTGCTCGTTTCTTTGGTTTGCTGTTATAGTTAACGGAATGAATACGTTTGTGTCTAGCAGTGGATAGGATTAAAGTACTTCAGGATACGCGTAACCTGCCCCGATCGAGTAGTGCAGGTTTGAGTATGAGTTTTGGATGTGAGTGTGGTGCGGTTGTGGATGTAGGTGTTCGTGTTACTCTGAAGATAAACTATTGAAACACCCACACCCTTTATAAGTTGTTTTGTGTTTTCGAATGCTGTAATTTGTTGCATCATTCGGTAGAGAATAGTTTATTACCTATTTGAAATAGGTTTTCAAATATTTGGAAGGCTAAATTAAGACGACCAGGACTCAAAAACCACAGTAAACCTGCAATTTTTGCCTAGGACCAAAGTCATCGGAAATTTCACGTTTTGACTTATTAAAAGACTCCAGACAATAATCATACTCATATTCGTGATCAACATTATTGATTCTATATTCTAACACGTATTTGACTGAAAAAGAAAAAAACAAATTTCCAGATGTGCTTTCGGCGAGTACAAGTACACAAAATTTGGATGTTGGACTAAGGCGAATAAATGTGCCCACGTTGCGGTCCATAAGCAATTTGTTGTTGCCATATTTTTTTGTCAAAAAATATTTTAGGAAGAAAAGTGCTATTACCATTCCACGGCCTCTGTTATAATTTATATTTATTCTAAAATATGCATCATCAAAAAAGTAATTTGCATTTAGTACAAATATAAATTACAGAAAATTTAATTTACGCATATATTAAATTGAAAGTAAATATAGATCGATACCCCTACGATAGTAGATGGAAGCTTTCTCTTAACTCTTCCTGGTCATAGCTAGCAATCAGCTCTCTCACGTCTAGTCCTCACCCTCAAGATGGTTTTCACCAGAATCAGATGGACAACTGCCGATGAACAATGGAAAATCAATAAGAATTTATCTTTTGTAGATGCCACGAGATTGCTCTGACGAATCAAATAACAATTTTTTTCCTTAGCAAAAAATACATTCATGACATTCTTATTTTGAGCTATGTTCATTCAGCTTTTATTAAGTCATCCATATTTTGATGGGTTTTATCTAAGATGACAGAATATTGTTTCTCAATTAAAAGAGAGTTAAACAAAGAAAGCATTACATTGAACTGCGGGAGAGTCACTTTCTTTCGATATTACTAGAACATAACATTCGATGATCCTTTTCGGTCAATGATAAAGAAAGCGACCGTTCGAGAAAACGAGGCAAATTTTCTGTATCAAGCCAGTTCGAAATATTAATCTTTTTGATATTCTCAATTGATTCAATGGTTTTTCCAATTGCTTCCAGAGTTCGTCGACAAACAACTGCATTACGATTTCGAAAGCGCTGACTATCGCTTGTGATTGAATGAAGAATTTGATCAAGTTGTTCAATCAAATTGTTCACTTCTGTTTCATTGTTACTAAGACATTCATAAAAATAGGCATTTGTTCTTTGCAGTTCAATTATTTGTTTACAGATTTGATCAAGAAAACCAATTGCTTTCTTTTGATGTTTTGTCCAAAAATAATGTACGAGTGATGCAATACCGAGCACAGCTCCACCACCAATTAGAGTAGCAAGAACAACAGCACTTACTGGATTCAATACAGCTCCAGCAATGACAAGAGCACCAGCACCACCGAACTCAGCAGATGCAATCATTGTACAAAGTGTACTAGCAGCCGCTGTTCCTGTACCGACAGGAGCAAGAAAACGAAATGTATCAGCTAAACTGATACGGCTATTTGCTACTTCACGCCGCTCTTTTACATTTCTTTTGAGAGTTTCTATACGATTTCTCAATTCTTTGCTTTGATTCTTTGTAACATTTGCGAACTCGAGCATTTTTTTGACACCAGTAGCCAGAGCAGTGAGAGCTAGATAAGCATCTTGTTTATCATCATCACTGAGTGGTCGGTTAGTATCATTGGATTCGAGCACATCAGCTAGAATATGAATATGATCACTAGCAGCTAACATTTTCGGCAAAACTAAACTAGTATTCATTTTGGTATCATCGACAAGGTCACAGAAGAACTTGACTAATGTTTCGAACTGATCAGCTACTTGATTGAATTCTTTGATTTCACGACGCATTTCACCGAGTAGTATTTGAATACTTTTGATGAGAGTGGGCACTTTTTGAATTCGTTTTGTGAAAGTACTCGATGCAAAATTGGTTGAGATAGAAATAAAATTTGCAAAACGACGTGTTTGTTCATCGTTTTCTAAACCGAAAGATTCAGCATTGGCAAGAAGTTCTCTTTCGCATTGTTCAAATACATCCACACTTGAGCAATCATCATGTTCAACGACTTCATTGGTGACACGCTCGATCAAGGCTAGAGCTTCGTCTGTTCTCTTTTCCATTTCATATGTATCCTGCACTGAAGCCATTAAATAGTACTTGTTTTGCTAGAATCACCTAAAATGAGAAAGTTATTTTTGAGAAGAAAGTTGTATTTTCGGCTAAAACAGATACATCTAGTCTGTGCCCATCGAGTTGACACTGAACAGTTAGTCCAAGTAGATAGATCCAACAAATCTCGATGTCAAATAGATAACTAAGATGAATATGTTTTCAAATATTTCTTTTCTGAACATCATCACACGGATACAGAAACTGCGCAGTGACTACGAAAGTTCTTTTGTAAGTAACATGTAATAAAAAAAAACCTTACTCTCTTACCAATATGATCTGTTGACACTCAATCAGTACGCAAGAAAAGAGCGATGGTGTGTACGTGTTTCGTCTGTTTGCGAGATATTAGAATCATTGATGCTATATATAAAAACATCAAGTATTATGATAGCGTCAGATGGAAGTAAAAATCCAACCAATTATTTAGTGGTTTATGGTTTTTGTTGACTTGAGTCAGAAATGAAAGAATCGATAATATTTTGTCGTGTAATTACGTGAATCAGAGGAAGGAGAATACCATGTTGTCACAGTCAATACTTCCATAATTCAGTACACAGCCGAAGCACAGAATGAGTCATTCATCCAAACGAATACCCCAACATATGATCACTGTTCTAATGATGGCAACGCATGTTTGTTTCCTATCTTTATGTCATTGTATAGTCAAATATTTCACATACGATAGATGCATATGATTTATGAGTATATCAGTGTCATTTGAGAGATCTCAATCATATTGTTCATTTTTTTTTTATTGAGAATAGGAATGTAAAACGATGGTTCACAGATAAGTATATAGTGATAATTTCAGAGAGCAAAGTATAGATCCTTTTCTATCTATTTCGACAATGAATGTGCTGGAAAGATATAATAGTCAGATTACTCTTGATGATAGAGAGAAAATAGCTTCCAGTTTATTTTAAATTTTGATCATCGTTTTAAGAGATATAATACATTGTATAGGATCATTTGATTCTTTTGACTCTTCTTTCCATGAGTATCACTCGGCAAGATAAACAAAGAGCTGTCAGAGAAAAAGAAATTCCTTTTGTTGTTGAACAAAACCTTGTGCGTGCTTTGTCCAACATCTATTCCTTGATCATCGTCATGAAACAAGGAGAAAAGCGCACTAAGGTTACGCGTGTGAGTAATCAAATAGTTCCATTCTTTTATTGGCATCTCATCGATGCATCGATTGCCTTGCCAACGTTTTCAACGCTGTAGAAGTAGTATTAAAAATGTCTTTTTTCACTGCAAGATCTGATGTACACAATATAGAAAAGCAACAGAACGAAAATTTCTTCTCTTGCGTTCTGTATGGCATCTATGAGATGCCAGATGAATATAGAGAATTGTGGAGTAGAAATTTTTCAGCAAGATTTGCGGATATTGTTTTTAACGATTTGCAAAAGTTTTGTCGAAGGAAACAGATCATTCTTAATAACTAGGCGGTTTATATGCGTGATTAACTTGACTGAAGTTGTTGATGAGCACGCAATTGCACCAATTTTATCAACATTAAATAACAATCACACGTTGCCTCATATAGAATTCAGATTCAATAACCCGAATAAAAAGTCTCAAGTACTTGCAGATGCTATTCGTATCAATCGTACGCTTACTTTCATTACTATGAACAAAAACAAAATTAATAATGAAGAAATCTGACTTATTGCATGGGCGTTACATCAAAATAGAACATTCACTGGCATACAGTTTGGATATTTCAGTGCTTCTCAAAGAGGTCAACAAACAATTGCAGACACTTTAAGTTCTAACAAGAATATTGTCTTTATGTATCATTCCAATTCGGGAGACACACTTCTTCTTCCGCAACGGATCAATAGACTGGAATTTGTACTCTTTCAATGAAACTATGCGATGGGGGTTCCGGAACTTCGCCAATAAGACTTTCGCCAATAATTGGCGAATTTCCACGGGACATATTGACGAAAGTCCACTGAACTTTCGCCAATTGGCGAATATCCAGAGGACGAATTGGCGAAATTCGAATAGATTTTCATGAATGAAAGTGGAACATTCATATCGTAAGTGAAGTAGAAGAACTATACCAAGGTTATTAAAATGTAGCTCGACTCATACAGTTGGACTTTGTTCAAATATAATCATATCATTATTATATCCAGCATGGTAGAGTAGAAAGAAAAGTGAATACAAGATGATGTCAAACAATGTTAGACGAATAAAGAAAAGAAAAACAAATAATCCATCACGAAACATTTATTCACGAGCTGGTGATTCACTTGCTGATGAATGAGATAAATTTGAATTTGATACATTATTTTTCTTTTTCTTTCCTTTTCTACCTCGACAAGTCGGTTCACCAACAAGATAGGCAAGTGACATCAATATTTCAATTAAAGATCTTTGTTTTGAATGAAATAAATTTATCAGTTTTTGTATTTGTTTACTTTTACGTGCTGCTGCATAAGTAGACTTTTTTGGTCTGGTAGATGAAAAACCAAGACCGGTTTGTATCATTCTATGCGATATAGCGCTCTCTTCTTGTTTTAAACACTGAATGAATCTCCACAGATTTGGATGTGGTTGAACAACTCGTGAGAAGAAGCGTCGATTTTGTGCTAAAAAATAAACATTGAAATATGAATAAGTCATCTAACTAAGTCTCCATGAAAACCATAGTAAAATATTTTCTTACCTTCAGCAAAATTGTTTGTTCTCCAGGTGCTGTTACTAACGGACCATGTTGAAGGTTTGAACTTATTTAACCACTCGTTTTCGAAATAAATAGCAAACATCTTTAATTGTTGAGCTTGAGGAGATACTTTTATTTGTTTTTTTAACAACTCATATCCTTCAGGAATAATCTCGATAGGTAGAAGAGCTAATGCCATAAAAGCCCGTAATAAATGACGTGATTCAGGATCATTTTCATAAAGACTCATTAATCCAATTTCTTGTATGTTTCGATAGCAAGCCTGACAAAAATGAAACCAACAACCAGTAACACTTGTATTTGTTAACTATAAGTCGTGCAAATATAGAAATATTTTTCCACATTCTATGTGAAATGAAAAGAAATCGCATACTTCTTTTGCAACAGCATTCATGAACGCTCTTTCAAAATCACAGACAATTGTTGTTGGTTTCAAATCAACACCTTTGTTATAACAAGATCTTTTCAAAGAACGAAAAATTGCTTCGTAGGTTTCGTGTCGTCTATTTGATGTTAAAATGAAACAGACTGGTACGGCTAGAAAAAATGAGAAAGATGAATAGAAGAAGAATAAATTTCGTTCTTAATTAGTGCAATATCATTTATGTAGAGAGACAACATCTTTTTCTATTCATAGTTATTGCACGTGCATTCTTTTATCTGTTTGATTAATGCGCATATTTATTTTCTCATGTTTTTCTTTATTCTCTCTTATGCATTCTCAGAGCATTAATTGGACAAAAAAAATACCTTCTCCGTTCTGCATGCCATGAATCACATATAACTGCTCGAATAACTTTGGTGCCACCTTAAAGGTACCATCTGCAAATAATATATCTGAACGATACAACACGTTTAACTGTTCATCAGATGCGAATATCATCAAACGCCCTCCATAAGCATTTTTTCGTTTGTCATATATCAGAAAATTTCCATTAGAATAGGTGTGTTGATAAGTTGATGGTACAATAAACTTCTGATCCTGTGGTAATGGTGGAACTGTTTTTCTTCTTAGTTTATGTAGACCCGATTCTACAGAACAAATAAATATTAAATTGTTAAATCGATACTAAGAAACAAATTAATTTTATTTACCAATGTGAATCGGAAGAGGCATTGCTCTTTTTTCTTCCTCTGACAAATTGGCCTTTCTATATTCTTCTTCAATAATAATTTTAATTGGAATATATTCATCGAGAACACGACTTTTTATTTTAGCCAAAATATTACGTTTTCGTGTTTCATATGAATCTGGTTCGTGACAATGAAACGTTTTATTCCAATGGCTAAATTCACCTGTTGTTTTCGAAGTATGAATAACGGCTTTACAATTCATATCTCTTCGTACACAGCGCCAACCAATACTTTGCTTTGCCGTACTCATATACAAATACCCAAACCCATTCATAAACACCATTTTACCTCCACGAGTTGATGTACCAGTTGTTATATCTCCCTTGATTACTGGTATGTTGATAAGAGCATTTGAGTTACCAAGAAAAATGTAGTTATCATCGTTGCTTGATGTTTCTAATGATACGGTAGGATGATTATCTTCAATTTCTTTTGTTGAAGCTGTTGGAGAATGTGGAACAGGTGTTGATGTCAATTGAGCTGATGTTGCTGATGAAAATGTCAATTCACAATCTGAAGAATGAAACAATACAGATTCCTTTTTTTTTCTTAAATTCTTTTACTTTTGTTTAATGATGGTGATATAGATGGTTGATTAGCAAACACGTTCTCGAGCTCTACATTCACTTCCTTTTCTGATTTATTATCTTCACCATCAAATTGTTTAGTAACTTCAGATGTAGATTCAGTATCGAAAAATGTTGATTGTTGTTGTGGTATAGAACAGACCTCAAATTCGTCGCAAGTCATACTTGTTTGTACTTTAACCTCTTTATGTTTTTGTTTCGATGGACATTTACGAGTTGTTTTGATAGACGATGCTGAAGTTGTTCTTGTTTGATCAAGTGAGGGGGTTACACCGCCACTAGCTTGTGATCTCAATTTTGCAGCACGAGTTGTTACAGGCATTTAATTAATAGTAATTATCTGAAAAAATAGAAATACTATCATACATATCAAACTTCTTACTAAGATATTGATTTGATCATATGTTGAGGACGTCGTACTTTGTACTGGCTCATACATAATTGTTATCCGTCAGCTACTTCAAATAAAATCTAAAACCATAAATCAAATTTATGACTACTATATAAATGAATATCTACCGGACTTTGTTCAAATATAATCATATCATTATTAGATCCAGCATGGTAGAGTAGAAAAAAAAGTGAATACAAGATGATGTCAAACAATGTTAGACGAATAAAG